GGGGGGGCGCGGGCAGTGTAGAGGGAGCTTTACTCTGTGTCTAACCCTGTGATGTCCCTTCCCTGGGGAGTGTTTGATGGGGGACAGTGTAGAGGGAGCTTTACTCTGTATCTAACCCTGTGCTGCCCCTGTCCTGGGAGTGTTTGATGGGGGGGACAGTGTAGAGTGAGCTTTACTCTGTATCTAATCCCATGCTGTCCCTGTCCTGGGAGTGTTTGATGGCGGGGACAGTGTAGAGGGAGCTTTATTCTGTATCTAACCCTGTGCTGTCCCCATCCTGGGAGTGTTTGATGGGGGACAGTGTAGAGGGAGCTTTACTCTGTATCTAACCCCGTGCTGTCCCTGTCCTGGGAGTGTTTGATGGGGGACAGTGTAGAGGGAGCTTTACTCTGTATCTAACCCCGTGCTGTCCCTGTCCTGGACAGGGAATGTTTGATGGGGGTTACTGACAGCATGAAACATGGAACCTCAGGGCTGTGCTGGGAAATGAGAGAGCATTCCTATCCTCGGCTGACCGTACTCACCAAAACTCCCCATCCTCCAGCTTCACTCTCATCGAGCTGCACTGCGAGGGGTCCACACTGTTCCATTCGTTTGACCTGTAGGAGAAAGGAGGGCAGTTATAGCTCCGAGCCGCTTACAAACCGTCCCCACTCATCAACGTCACCCAATGAGACAAGGGGCAGCAGATACGTGGGGAACACCAGCCCCACTCACCGTCCCAACTTGGAAATGTATCGGCCGTTCTCTCAGTGTCACTGGGTCATAAACCTGGAGCCCCCCCACTCCACCCCACTCCCTGTGAGTGTGTGTCTGCACAGCACACAGACTCAGGTCGACACCATCCTCACCAGGGCAGCAATGCCAAGGATACCCATGTCCAAAATAAGAAATTGATGCCCCTTGTTGAGTTAGACTACTGGGGGTTCAACACGCACAGAGGCCAGACTGACCCCCCCCGACATCCCAACCACCCCCCTCCCCAGCTCCCCAGCTCCCCAGCCCCCCACCCGCCCAGGTGTAGAAGTGTGTGGGCAGTGGGGGAGGTTAGAAGAGATAGTTCAGCTAGCTCAGTTGGCCGAAAGGCTGCTTTAAGGTACACGGTGACGCCAACAGTGAGGTTACAATGAAGGACTGTCTCTCTCTCAACCTCTCCCTTCGCCTGAGGCATGCCGACCCTCAGGTTAAACCACCTCCCTCTCTCTCTCTCTCTCACAAGGGAGCAGGCTCATGGTCCGGTAGGACTACGTAACTTCATCTTTAGTGCTGAGGGAGCACTGCGCAGTCGGAGGGCCGGCGCTGAGGGAGAGCCGCGCTGTCGGAGGGCCGGCGCTGAGGGAGAGCCGCGCTGTCGGAGGGCCGGCACTGAGGGAGAGCCGCGCTGTCGGAGGGCCGGCGCTGAGGGAGGTGTTAAAAACGCTTCTGCTGCTAAGTGCTGGCCCTGGCCAATGTCATGTTGACTTCCACCAGCCCCTAGAGTTTATCTCGAGTAGCACCAGGTCTTTGACTGTATCTGTGAAGAAAGCTTCACGTCATTACCTGTCAATATCTCTGTGTTTTTGCACCTTCAGCTCAGGAATTCCCTCCCTAAACCTCCCTGCCTCTCTCTATCAGGCAAACAATGGTCACCTCCTGTGGATGAGTTAAAACAAAATTATTCTGAATGTTTATAAATAGCTGGTTAGGCCTCAGCCGGAGGGAACGTGCTCAGTCCTGAAGTCACTATGGTGGGAAATCCATTATAAGCGTATAACGCCGTGGGCATATCATCTCAATGCTCCCAAAGGAGCTAAACTTTCATTGGAATCTTCATTTTGCTGGTCGAGGATCAGAATTTCCTTATTAATGGCACGGATTCGATTTATTGTAGTCATGTGTGCCTAAATACAGTGAAAAGCTTTGTTTTGTGAGCAGTTACAGGCAGATCACAGCAAACAAGGACATACAGATCACAGGGAGCTCAGACAGAGCAAGGAATACAAGGTTCCACTGCACAGGAGGTGCACAAGGCAAGATCAACATTATTTGAAGTAAGAGAGGTCCATCCAGCAGTCTATTTAAACAGAAGGGAAGAATTTTCTTGTTAATGCAAGTCTTATTAATAAGGCAGTTACTACGGTTCTATCTACACCTGTAGCATTTCAAGAAAGCAGCTCATACCACCTTATCTGGGGGCAATCAGGAATGGGTGATAAATTGCAGAGCTCAGTCAACGACACCCATAACTGAAGAAAATAAGGTTTCACTTTAGACCCTGGCAGCTGGTTTGCCAGAGACCTCCAGCGTGTACACAAAGTCTACGAGACGAAGCCCTCTAAAGGGTTAACTGTAACATTCGGCGTCTCCAAACAAACTAATGTCGCCTCAGAGCTAAGGTGATGGTAGCCTGGAAACGGGTTAGTGCAGTAAGGGATTGTGAAACTGCTGCACAAATAGTAAGGAACGGAGGTCCTTCTGATTAATTTACAGGCTGTCACTGGATGAGCCAGGACTTCGTTCAGTGGGGACACTGTTGGATCGAGTCAATGAGGGAGAAACTGTCCCCAGTGGCAGGAGGGTCAGTCACCAGAGGGGCACGGATTGAAGAGAATCTGGAAAAGTTGCCAGGGTTGGAGGGTTTGAGCTACAGGGAGAGGCTGAATAGGGCTGGGGCTGTTTTCCCTGGAGCGTCGGAGGCTGAGGGGTGACCTTATAGAGGTTTATAAAATCATGAGGGGCATGGATAGGGTTAACAAGTAAGGGCTTTTCCCCAGAGTGGGATAGTCCAAAACTAGAGGGGCATAGATTTAAGGTGAGAGGGTAAAGATTTAAAAAGGACCTGAGGGGCAACTTCTTCACACAGAGGGTGGTGCGTGTATGGAATGAGCTGCCAGAGGAAGTGGTGGAGGCTGGTACAATTACAACATTTAAAAGGCATCTGGATGGGTACATGAATAGGGAAGGGTTTAGAGGGTTACGGGCCAAACGCTGGCAAATAGGACTGGATTAATTTAGGATATCTGGTCGGCATGGACGAGTTGGACCAAAGGGTTTGCTTCTGTGCCGTACATCTCTACGACTATAATCCGAGGGAGGGAGGGAGGGAGGACAGCGGGAGATGAAGGGAATGTTTTATTCGGAAATGGCTGCCCATTACCAAGGCCCCAGGCCTGATCCCAGAGCCTGCCTTCCTGCCGTCCATCGCTGACCACTGTCCGAAGGAAGGACACAATTTCTGACGTGCTGAGGCCAGAGGCTTCTCACTAAGTTAATCGGGAATCAACGAAAAAAAATGTCGGAAAGTCAGCGCCGAGGGAGCGCCGCGCTGTTGGAGTTGAAGAGAAGGAGGAGGCTATTCCTTAAAGTCATGGTTGATAACATTGCGGCCTCAACATCTACTGAATCCTGTTAACCCCTTATCAGTCAAGAATCTGTTGACCTTAAAAGGATTCAGTGACCCCCGTCCCCAAGGAAGAGCCCCCACAGACTCGTGACTGTCAGGGAAAGAAAATAAATTCTCCCCATCTCTGTCTTCCATGCAAGACCCCTTCTTTTTAAACTGTCCCCCCCGGCCCCACTTTCATTCTGGTCTCTCCCACGAGAGAGAACTATTCTCACAGTATCCTCAATGTCGAGTTTGACCCAGTGACACTGGAGGAGTGGCCGATATATTTCCAAGTCAGGATGGTGTGTGGCTCGGACGCAAATTGGAGGAGGCTATGTTCCTACGTTCCTGATGCCTGGGGTTCAGAGTTCAGGGGCTTGGAAGCACCCTCAAGGCTTTGTCTGTTTCCAAGCAAAAAAATTCACCTCTCCTTCTTCCAAGGGATACAACCATCCCTCGCAGGACAAACCTTTTCACCACAGGATCCAGTGGTGCGATTCCTCCTGGAATTGCTCCAGGCAGGTTCAAGTAGTTTCGTAAATAAGGAGAGCGAAAGGGAGATCCGTTTACCTGTCACTCCAAGCTCCAGTCCACTCGACCTCCCCCCAGGGATTTCGCAGTCGCACCAATTTAATCAAACCTCCCCGGGCACATACCTGGGGATAGAGAGAGGGGAAAGAACCATCAAACAATACCCACATCATCAATACCCACCCAACGCCAAGATACAGGGAGGGGACAGAGAGGAGCAGATTATTACTGACAAGCACGTTCTGTAGTGGGTTACAGACTGACCTCTTCGGCACCAGTGAGGGAGTAAGCGTGACCTTTAACCAACTTCTTGAACGTCACAGCCTCCAAGTCGAACTGGCTGGTTATCTGAGAAAGTAAAAGCAGAATCACATCCAGGCTCAGAACGACCAAACAACAGTCACACTGTTCGAGTGTTGGCAAAACAAGGCATCATTCGCAAATCTTTTCCTCTCTCGCTCATCAGGGCGGTTTCCGGCAAAACTGATTGAAAGGGAGTGGGCAATGTTGGAGGGTCAGTGCTGAGGGAGCGCCGCACTGTCAGAGGGTCAGTGCTGAGGGAGTGCCGCACTGTCGGAGGGTCAGTGCTGAGGGAGTGCCGCACTGTCGGAGGGTCAGTGCTGAGGGAGTGCCGCACTGTCGGAGGGTCAGTGCTGAGGGAGTGCCGCACTGTCGGAGGGTCAGTGCTGAGGGAGTGCCGCACTGTCGGAGGGTCAGTGCTGAGGGAGTGCCGCACTGTCGGAGGGTCAGTGCTGAGGGAGCGGGCACTGTCGGAGGGTCAGTGCTGAGGGAGCGGGCACTGTCGGAGGGTCAGCGCTGAGGGAGCGGGCACTGTCAGAGGGTCAGTGCCGAGGGAGCGCCGCACTGTCGGAGGGTCAGTGCCGAGCATGCCCAGTGAGTTAGCCAAACTGAGCTTACATCGATGGAGCAGCCCATGAGGGAGCCTCGTTCCACAGCCTTTTGGATAATTCGGTAAAGGTCAGAGGGCGATTTACGGAGGTCGTACATTTCGGTCACTCCTCCCGTGAAGTCTTCAAAACCTTCTGATGTACTTCCTCCCGCGAGGGCTTCATAACAACCACTTAATCTGTACAGAGGGGAGAAATATGGAGGGAATCATACAGCCATAGCGATGTACAGCATGGAAACAGACCCTTCAGACCAACCCGTCCATGCTGATTAGATACCCTAAATTAATCTAGTCCCATTTGCCAGCATTTGGCCCATATCCCTCTAAACCCTTCCTATTCATCTACCCATCCAGATGCCTTTTAAATGTTGTAATTGTACCAGCCTCCACCACTTCCTCTGGCAGCTCGTTCCATACACGCACCGCCCTCTGTGTGAAAAAGTTGCCCCTCAGGTCCTTTTTAAATCTTTCCCCTCTCTCCTTAAACCTGTGCCCTCTCATTTTGGACTCTGCTACCCTGGGGAGAATGACCCTGGCGATTCACCCTATCCACACTCCTCATGATTTTATAATACTCTATAAAGGTCACCCCTCAGCCTCCGACGCTCCAGGGAAAATAGCCCCAGCCTATTCAGCTTCTCCCTATAGCTCAAACCCTCCAACCCTGGCAACATGCTTGTAAAATCTTTTCTGAATCTTTTCAAATTTCACGAAATCCTTCCTGTTAGCAGGGAGACCAGAATTGAACACAGTTTTCCAAAAGTGGCCCTAACCAATGTCTTGTACAGACACAACATTCCCTCCCAACTCCTACACTCAATGCACTGATCAATGAAGGCTAGCATACCAAATGCCTTCTTCACCGCTCTTTCTACCTGCAACTCCACCTTCAAGGAACTATCATCATCTCCACCCCTAGGTCATTTTGTATGGCAACACTCTCAGGACCTTACCATTAAGTGTGTAAGCCCTGCCCTGATTTGCCTTTCCAAAATGCCGCACCTCACACTTATTTAAATTAAACTCCATCTGCCACTCCTCGGCCTATCGGGCCATCAATCAGGGTCCTGTTGGACTCTGGTAGAGAATTTGCGAAGAGAGAGAGGGACTCCCAGGCAGAGGGAGAGAGAGAGAAAAAGTGAGAGGGGGAGAGAGAGAGAGAGAATGGGCCTGATTCCCAGGCAAAGAGAGAGAGAGAGAGACACAGACGCTGGGCACAGAAGGAGAGAGACAGAGAAACTCCCAGGCAGAGAAGGTTGGTTCACAGAGAATGTGTTAGTGTCAGTAAAAGAGATTTGGAGGGAAGTTCAGAAAGAAGGTGGGAGGGAGGGAGATGGGGCAGAGAGAGAGAGAGAGAGAGACAGAACCATTTAAGGATGACAGTGTGAGAGAGAGGCAGAGTGTGAGACACTGTGTGATCAGCGGCCAGGCAGAATACAGCAGATGAAAAGAGGGAGAGCTGGATGAGGAGAAATGAGATGGAGGAGGCAGACAAATAGATATGTCATTTGAAAAAAAAAACCCAGTTTCCTAAAATTCGAGAGAATTGACATTTTAGGAACGATCCTGGGACTGTGGCCAGTGGTCAAAATGGAATCAGCGATTACTACGTGTGAGATACTAATCTCTGTTAGTATCCACAGAACAGACTGCTGTTTACATTTCCAAACTTACTAGATTTTATTTTAATATACACGGTTTGTTTTTCGCTGAGCGTTTAACTGAAGGCTTGACACCACGTTAACAGACCTAATTTGTCGCAAACTCTGAATGCACGAGGGGTCAAGAAATCTAAACACTACACAGGCTGCTGTGTGCAGACTGAATAGACGAATACATTCACTTGATACTTATCTCTGCGGCTGACAGGATGTGAGATCATGAGATTTGCCTGATATGGATCTATTTAATTAGAAACATGAATTCAAAGATAGCCATGGCTCATCACTTTTTCAAACAAACAAATCTGGTAGGTACTGAAATCCCTGAGGAAG